AGCGAATGCGGCGGGGGGGAAGGCGCGGGAATGCAGGATGAAGATGGAGAAAGTCGGGGGTCTAGTGAATCAAGTGTCGAACGACGTGGAGTGTACGGGCAATAAGTCAAATCAATCAATCAATCAATCAATCAATCAATCAATCAATCAATCAATCAATCAATCAATTAATCAATCAACGAATCAATCAATCAATCAACTAAGAAGGAAAAGGAATCCTTAGCGGATGTCGGGCACCCTACCGTCTCAACCCGAAAACAAGGTACGTACCTTTTTTTTTTTTTTTTTTTTTTTTTTTTTTTTTTTTGGGAAATATTCAGTATTTCATTACAGCGAAAACCTGGGAAGAGGCTGGGGACCTCACAATTCAACCCGGAGTTACCTTGGCAGCATCAGCCAGTTTTGCTTACAATCCAAGCTCGCTGACCTGCCTCTATTCTAGGTCCATCCCTGCTACTGTTTGAAAACCGGGTCCAACGTCCCATGCTAAGACCAAAGTCTTTCCAAAAATCAAACCTCGAAGCACCGGGAAAAAGGGGGCCGCCACACACACAAAGACACAAACATACACTCACAGGGACGCACAAAAGAACACAGACACACAGACATACACAAACATGCAGACATAGACACACACACGCACAAATAGAGATACACACACACGCACAAACAGTCGTGTTTACACAACACACACAGACACGCAGACACAGACAGACACACAAACAGAGATACACACAGACACACACTGGTAGACACACACAAGAACACAGGCACACAGACACAGACAGACCTAAAGACACAGGCTTGTAGTGACAAAAAGTTTCCCCAGAACCAGTATAGGCCTATAATCACTTTCGCCTGCGCCACTCGTGTTTACACACGCACACAAGGACACAGTTCGACACACACAGATACACAGACACCGACACACACAGCGACAAAAACACGCACAAAAACACGCTCACGGCCACACACGGACATAGGCACACACTGACACAGTTCGTGTCTGTGTTCGTATGTTTTTTTGTGAACCGCACACGAACACAGACTCAACCCGTGTCTATGTTTTAATGCGCATGTGTTTATGTGTGTTTATGTGTGTTTGTGTCTGTTTCCGTGTCGGTGTCTGTCTGTGCACAGTGACACAGACTAACGCAAGCACATTCCCAGAATTGTTATAGGCCTATAACCACTTTCGTCTATGGCAATCGAGTTCACATACAGACACACGCACACAAGGACACAGTTAGACACAGCCACAAACACAACCAAACACACACAGGCACAGGCGCACACAACCAGACACACAAGAACACACATATACACACACACACACAGACACACACGCACACACACACACGCAAATACAGGTACACGCATACACAGACATACACACACGCATAGACAGCCACACACACAAACACAGACATACAGACAAACAGACACATAGACACACATAAAGACAGAGGCCCGAAAGCGGTCCCAAAAGTGTTTAAGGCCTACAAGCACCTTCGCATATTTTTCTGCTCGAGGCCGCCATACACACAAAGGCACAAACATACACTCACAGATACGCACACAAGAACACAGACACACAGACATACACAGACATTCAAATATAGACACACACACACATAAACAGAGACACACACAGACACACACACAAAAACACAGGCTTGAAGTGCTGAAAAGTTTCCCCTAGAAAATTACGGGCCTATAATCACTGTTAGACACACACACAAGAACACAGGCACACAAACACACACATACATAAAGACATAGGCTTGTATTGTCAAAAGGTTTTCCCAGAACCAGTACAGACATTTAATCACTTTCGCCTAAAGACACAGGCTTGTATTGTCAATCAGTTTCCCCTGACGCACACAGACACACACAAACATAAAGGCATAAAGACACATGCTTGTATTGTCAATAAGTTTGCCCAGACGCACACAACCATACACACAAGAACACACAGATACACACACACACAAACACGCACACACACACACACACGCAAACACAGGTACACATACACACAGACACACACTCGCAGAGACAACCACACACATAAACAGAGATACACAGACACACATAAAGACAGAGGCCTGGAAGTGGTCCCAAAAGTGTTTAAGGTCGAAAAGCACCTTTGCCTTGCCTGCCACACAGAGGCACACATACAAACACAAACAACGACGTGCACACAGACAAAGACACACACACAGACACACACGCACACGAAGAGAGACACACACAGACACACACACACAAAGAGACATGTGTCATTCGTGTTTACACACAGACACACACACACAAGGACACAGGGAGACACACACAGACACACGAACATTGACACGCACATAGACACACATGGACACAGAGACATACGGGCAAAACAAGCAGGGGTGTTAGGGCCCTGTAACCAGTCTTGCCGTGCTTGACATTTGTTTTGGATGCCTTTTTGCGTGCAGTCCATTCGTGACGATGAAGACATCCCGAGGTGTGAGGGGTGGGAGCAAGGGGAGGAGTGCAATAACAACTGGCACAGTGTCTTCTTGGGGGCAGCCGACGTGCTCCGGAGGGGTTGTGCAGCAAAGGAGACCACCAGAGCAGAACGTCGTTCAAGACGCAAGGGGAGAGGATGATTTTTCCCAAATGGGAGAAGGAGATGAGGAAGAATATGTTCTAGAAGAAGGAGAGTTCGAGGAAGGAGGAGGCGTAGGAGAGTTCAAGGAAGGAGAGGGAAAGGAAGGAGAGGGAGAGGAAGAGGAAGAGGAAGGAGGAGGCGAGGAAGAAGAAGAAGATGAAGAAGAAGAAGAAGAAGAAGAAGAAGAGGACAAGGATGGAGGAGAAGAAGATTGAATGGAGGAGGACGACAGTTGGCAGAGAGAGTTCCTTGAGTCGAGGCCTGTTCACAGCGACTTCAAGTACTTCTTTTGGGCCGTGTATGTCGCAGCTGGAATATCTTTTCTTCACGTCAAGACCACCGGTAACGGTGTCTATCTAGAAATCGACAAAATTTTATTTGCAGCGCACGTGACGGAGAAATATCTCATCGCGGAGTTGTGGGTTGTTATCAAGGGCAAGCTCACGAAATGTCTGTTGAAGGGGGATAAATTAATGCCCATGAAGATGCCCATCCAAAACAGGAAATTGTTGATATTAAACAAGATTGGTTGCAAGGTAAATTCTCTCATCTCCCCTAAAATTCTCACTGCATATCTCACTTTGCAGGAAGTTGCAGAGCTGCAAGTTTCACTCCGCTTCTTTGAAGTCGCAGAGCTTCAGATTCAGGCCTGTAACTTCCACGGCGTATCCGAGAGTTATAGGCCTATAACTTCCACGACGTAACCGAAAGGCATAGGCCTATAACTTCCACGGCGTATCCGAGAGTTATAGGCCTATAACTTCCACGGCGTAACCGAAAGTCATAGGCCTATAACTTCCACATCGTACCCGGAAGTTACAGGTCTTTAACTTCCACATCGTGTCCGCGTCTTTCTCGCTTCCGGGGAGTTATAAGCCTATAACTTTCACTGTGTTTTCCTTGCTTCCGGGAAGTTATAGGCCTATAACATTCACTGCGTCTTCCTTTCTTCTAGAAGTTTGACTCTTTGAGGTTGCAGGCCTGGAATGTGTTACTCACATTTGCATTGTTTTATTGCACTTGTCGTACGCATAGTTGCTCTAAATGTGTGTTATAGGCCTATAAGTTTCTCTCACACACTTGGTGGACCGTTGTTTTTTTGTTTGCTTCCAATGTGTTGCGCAACCTTTCGTGGAAGGACTTTCTGACTTCTTGCGGCCAAATTTGGACGAGAAATTTCTTCCTTTTAAGTACGCAGAGGAAGCAGAAAAATCACAAATTCCAACGACGACGACGACGACCACGAGGGGTGGCTCGGAAGCGAGGTTACAGCGCCTTAAATATGTGATTTCTCCTCAAACCATTGTCGGGTCTTCCGGTAGTTTGGAAAGGGGATCGGGAACAAAGACGGTTCCCGGGAAGATTCGCGGGAAGAAAACAGTCACAGAGGGTCCGCCTCGTCCAGCAGGGCAACGGGAGGGAAAGGGGAGGGAAGATGAACTCCAAGTACCCCAAGGTTTAGTGCCGAACGAGCGCACAGAAGATTTGACAAAAACTTGGGAGGAGTTGAAGAGTTTGAAGGAGAAGAAACTTTCACACGAGTCTTTTTACCTGCCGATGAGATGTTTGTAGAGGCCACCCCTGGTGAATGGGAAAAGACCAATGGAGGTGAGAGAGCCGGACGAGGACGATGTAAAATGCATCATGGACTCCATGTTGAAGCAACAAACTGGAGATCATCTTCCCTTCGTTGGCCTCGTCGACCCTGGCCAGGCCGAGCGCAAAGAAGACGTGAGCTTGACGAAATTGAGAGCCGGCGACTACGACATTTTTGTGCTTGGTAGTGGCCACAGTCGGGAAGCGAGGGAGGGGTTAGCACGCATGAACCCCGACAACGAGGAGTACCAATACAATGTCTGTTATGTTTACGTTGGCCTCACGGTCGATGAGGCAAGGCAGGTTGCCCATAGGCATAACCTTGAGGCGGGTTACCACAGGGACTTGAACTTCATCGAGAAGCTCAGGTGCTGGCGCCAAGTATTTGAGAGCAGGGGGTGCGTCAAGTCGCAAGAAGTAAAGTTCGCTTGCCTGAAAGAAGCAGGGATTCCGAATGCGGCTAAGAAATTGAACGCCCAAGACCCATTGTTGCAGTGTGCTTTCAAACCCCAAGAGATTTGGGAGCTCATGTGTAAGATCATGAGCATGTGGCAGAAGGGCGAGGTCAAAGGCCAAAAACTGAAGCCGGCTGCGAGGAGCTTCTTGAAAGCGGACCAGGATCTGGAAACGAGCGAGTCCGAGGGCGCGAAGAAAAGCCAGTGTGGGAAGAGGCTTGATAGGGCAGCTGCGAAGGAACAAGAAATGGCGCTTCTTTATCCTCGGGTGCAACTGCAGGGTAACAAGGTCCCCATGGTTGCCGAGGACATGCCAGCGCAACACTGGATAGCCATGGGTAGTATGGCTCCAGAGAACGCCGTCCCTATCCTCCTTAAGGTCATTGCGAAGCAGATCTCGCTCAAGGAGATGGAGAAGAAGTTCCAACTTGTCAAGCAAATCGCCTACGTCTGCAAGGCATTCGCAGTGGGGGTGGGTGCTGCTGACTTCAAGGAGGCCGAGAAGGGGTATCCTCTCCACACGAAGAAAGAGATTTTAGAGAAGTTCGTTGGTGGCATCAGAAGGGGTCAGACGAGTATCCCCGCACTGGATGGCCATATTAAACGGCCTTTATAATGGAAGAACAAGGAGAGGAGACTGCAAGCAAAGAAGGTTATTCACACGTTCCGTTCAAAACCTCTCGTGGAACCGTTCGTCGACTGGACGGAGGTAACACACGACAACGACTCAGCAGAAGTGAAGATTATCAATGACGACATGCGCTTGTTGTCGAAGCTGCAGACAGAAAAGTTGCCGATATCTCTGGCTATTTTCGACTTCCCTTACGGGTTCGCGCACGAGGGTCACGCATCTGATAATGAGCCGTTTCCAGAGTCGGACGTTGTGGAGGTTCTTCACAATCTAAAGGACGTTTCCAGTGCCCCGTTGTGGACAGTTGCGGGATTCTGTTCGGTGGACATGCTTCCTTCCATCTGCTCCGCGTTCCGGAAAGTTTGCAATGCAGGGCAGAAGCTTTTGACGTGGTGCAAGCCTAATGTGACGAATCCGGGTGGGCCCCGGCTTGTGAGTGCGACCGAATTCTGCGTGCTGGGCTATTACAGCGAGACTGGGCAGCGCGAGATGGCGCACTACAATTTTGATCCCACTCATATGTGTCACAATTTCCAGCTCTTTAACGCTGTGACGCAGAAGTACCAGCACCTTGGTGGCGGTGTCCTCTGCCCGTACCAGAAGCCGTATACTTTGTACTCCTGGCTTGTGAACAAATTCTCTCCCGCAGGGGTCTGTGTTCTTGATGGTTTCTTCGGTTCCGGCACAGGTGCCATAGCGTGTGTCAAGGCAAATCGGAATTGCCTTGTGGTGGAGATAAACACCAAGTGCGCTAAGGGCATCGCCACGAGGCTTCTGACAGACATTGGCGACACACTTGCGCGCGAAACGCCAAAGCGGAAAGAAAAGGTCACACAAGGCAGCCCGACCTCTAAGTTGTCTGGGGATATGAAGTCTGCCGAAAATGAACTCGTGCCTGACCAAAACACGGACACTGCTGTTGGAGTGGCGAACAACGCTGAGGTTATCGTTGTCGGGCCGTCAGGTGCGAGTTTGCCCACTGCCGAGGCTGCTGCCGGCCCAAACTGTTACCGGTGCTGAGCCCGCTATCACTGTGCCTCTTCCCGGTGAGGGTAGACCCGTGCCTGCTTCCATGCCTGTTCCTAGCATTGTTCCCGAAGCTAGACAAGAGGCTGAGATGCAACCTACATCCGGGCCTGTTCCCGCTTCTGCAAATGCTCAGCAAAGTGTCTTGAGCCTCGCCATGAGCCAGGAATCAAGCAGGACCACGACTGGCGGCAGAAAGGGGCGTAAACGAAAGGCAGGCGGTGAAGAGGTGTCGAGTACACAGGGTGGGGTAACGATTGGCCTCAAGGCTAATACTCGCTCACGGACTGCGAAGTGACTGAGGCCACAACGTATTCTTTGGATATATGCCTATATGTCATTTGTGGACACGCACTTTCGATATAGGTCTATATTGCATGTGTGGCCTCAAACCACACATGCAATATAGGCCTATATTGCATGTGTGGACACACACTTTCGGTATAAGCTTATATTGCATATGTAGCCTCAAACCACACATGCAATATAGGCCTATATTGCATGTGTGGACACACTTTCGATATAGGCCTATATCGCATGTGTGGCCTCAAGTCATTTTCGTGTTCTGCCGACTCTCCCGTATTGGTCGCGTCTTCTCCTTCCGCTTGTTATTTTCACCATGTGTAGCCTCAAACCACGGATCGTCCGCGATAATGACAAAAGGTCCAGGAGTTGTCGTTTGTTGGCATCGAATAATGATTTGTTTGGTACATTCCGGTCAAAGAGCCGAAGCAGGATCGAAAATGATCCATGTAGCAAGGATTGCACCTCTCGCAATTGGTGCGAGGTGAGAAACCAAGCTTTATTCGTTCACGAGTCTCTTGTTAGCATTGCATGGTCAAAATGAGGATTCGTGTGGTTTGTGATCTAGGAGTTGCCATTTGTTGATGTCGAATAATGATTTGTTTGGTGCATTCCGGTCAAAGAGCCGAAGCAGGATCGACAATGGTCCATGTAGTAAGGATTGCGCCTCTCGCAATCGGTGCGAGAAGAGAAACCAAGCCTTATTCGTACACGAGCCTGCTCTGGTGTATGTTGCTTTGCCTCGATCCCTCCCAGGATTGATCGCCGCCCCTGCATCGTCGGAGTGTGTGCTGCTTTGCCTGGATGCCTCTCCCAGGATTGGTCGTCGTCCCTTCGTGGTTTGAGCTGTGTGGTTTGGCACATGGCTTTGTTTTTTGCAAAATTATTATTTTGTAGAGTAGGCTAGCTTTTTATTTTTTAGGTCGTGGAAGAGGGAACTAGGCGCACTCGGTTCGTGGTTCAGACCGCAGTAGGTCGACAATTTTGAGAGTGCCATCATTATTGGGAACCATGTGTTCCGTCGTGCATTGTAGCCATTTAGAGGAACGAGGCATGGGGAGGTCGACCCAGTGGCACTCGGCACAGGTGTGGTAGTTTTTCGGGACAGGGGGTACTTTAGTTTGTCTCTCCCAGTATTGGTCGTCGTCCCTTCGTCGTTGGAGCTGTGTGGTTTGGCACATGGCTTTGTTTTCTGCAGAATTGTTATTGCGTAGAGTAGGCTGCGAACATATTGTTTTCTACTGTTTTTTTGTTTTTTTTTTAATTAATTTTGAACTGGTGTACCTCCCTGGTAAAAGTTGATTGCATTCTTACTTTAAACAACCACGCACGTGGTTAGATGCACCAACCTTAACTACGCAAACACAGACACGCAGACACAGACACACACACAAACAGAGGTACACACAAACGCACACTGGGAGTCACACACAAAAGAACGCAGGCACAGAGACACACACCGACACACACAAA